TGATTCGTCCTTAGCCAACGACAGTTGAAGTTAAGGCGAGTTGTGAACAAATCGATCCCATCCTCTATAATGCTCATCATTCTTTGTAATCTCAAACGACAGTTTAGGGTGTTAGATTGATTGATGAAGTAGTTGATGCCACGGCAGTGGGTCCTCTTGATTTTATGATTAAGTTCTAGATTGGTTCTTAATTGATATCCTGAATAATTGCTTGGTTCTAGATGATCTAATCCCTAAGATATTCTCCCTTAGCCTAACGTCTTCATTATCATTGCTTACACTGTATTGACATATTTGCTTTCTAATCGTGACAACTTAAAACAACTTGATCGCTTAGCTGAAATTGTATCTCAAAAGATTAGAGTATATTGCTGATCCCTTTGAACGAACCTCACTATTCTACATCGAATTAGTGAACCCTAGGTTTTAAACTTATAAGACCCGAAAAAGGATTATCACCATAAGTCATGTAAAAATAACCAATGTGATCATTTGAATTTTTACAATTTTCTTGGATTATATTTCGGTTAGTTCAAGTATTTTTGGATAGTTTGGATAAAAAAACCGTTTTGTTGATAGTTTTTATTTTGAATAGTTCAGATATAATATGAAAATTTAAGATAGTTTGGATAAAAAAAGGTAAACCTCTAAGGACAAAACCCAATTTTCTCTCTAGCCCTCCGCCGCTTGCTACAATTCTCCTCTTTGCTTTTTGCAAGCTTGGCTCCGGCGTCCGGTGGCTCTCTCAGCACCGTCGCTGAAGCGTGTGTATATTAGGCTCCTTGTTTTAGTTTCCAGCAAGAATAGTTTCTAGGTTTCTTTAATGTATTTTCTAGTGGGTATGGGTTTAAGATCTTTGGCTATGGCTTGGATTGTGTATGGTGGGTAGGTGTCGCCGAGGTCTTGGGTGGTGCATCTGTGTCGTAGTCGTCGTCCTCAGCCGGTCTCCAGTTTGCTCAGCTCAGATCTATTGAGAATTTGGGATTATCGCTTGTGGTGCGGCTCACTTTCTCGTTGGTGATTGTAGATCCACTTTTGGTTGGTCTCAGTGAGCTTCTTTCTCCGTTTTCCCAGTCGCATAGTACATGTTTGGCTTATTTCTTGTCTTAGGATAGATTTGTTGGCCTTAGGGGTTTTGTCGGTGTTGTTTGGTTAGATTTGTCAGTTTCGGGTTTCTTCTTGCTTTTGGCTGTTTAAGCGTAGTGCAGGCTTGCCTAGTTTTCGGATAGTTTTGCTGCTGGTTTGGTTGCTAATTTTCCGAGGATTAAGGCTTCGACCGTGACCTATGATTATCTCTAGTTTTAAATTCGATGTTTAACCGGAGTTCTTTGGCAAGGTTTTGATCGGGTCCTCTTACCCCGGTATCACCCTTTCTCAGTAAAAATAAGAGTGGGACACGAGCAATAGATTGGGATTAGGTATGTTATCTCTCCTTCAAGACTAATAAGGCTCTGTAGTTGTCTGCCTTTCTACTCTTCGTAGACAAGTCGTCTTTGGTTATCGTCTTCTTCGTTTGGAATGCTAGTTTTCTGAGCTGTTGTGTGGCTTTGTTCAGATGTTTTATCGATGTTGGGATCTTAATTCTCGTATTTTACCTTGTAGTCTACCCCGTATTCTATCTTGTATCAAATCCGGTATTCGACCATGTATTCTATTTGTTTTTAATAAAATATTCAGATGAAAAAAAAAAGATAGTTTGGATAAAAAAAAATAAAATTACCCGTATCGAATAAAAGCCAAATATATTTCAGTTTTTTTTTTGCGGTTCTTTTTCAAAATACCAAACGGTCCAAACCAAACCGAATCGGAAAAATCGGGCTCGGAACGAGAGAACAAAAAAATCGAAAGAAACCGAATGCCTAGGCCGGCCATCATAATAACTGTCGTCCAGACGTAAAAAATTCCATTGTGGTCGTAAACGTGCATTCTCGTCATCCTTGTAAAAAATTCCAAATGAAATCTAAACCAATCAAAATTTCCAAATGTTTTCACTAAATACGATTGAAAAATCAAGAAAGTCTCCATTTGATCATCTCTCTCAGTTTCAAAATTTCCGATGAAGTTTCTTCTGAATTCACTAACCTTCTTCCCCTTCACTCCTAAACCTCTCGATTCCAAGCCTCCTTTCAGGCCCATCAAAGTCTCCGTCCAGACTCCCCCGCCGGATTTCGATTTCCGCAACGAGATCGCTTCAGACTCACGCGCCGCAATCTCCAGGACTTTCCCGGAGCTGCTCGACCTCGCCGATAACGGGACACTGATTCTGCTCCACAAGCAGAGTTTCGGTCCTGTTCCATCCTGGCGCAAGGAGTTCGTCGAGCCGGAGGCGATTTGGCTGGTTGGCACTTCCCATATCTCGCCGGAGTCTGCTTCCGACGTCGAACGCGTCGTTCGCACGGTCAAACCAGATAATGTCGCCGTCGAGCTCTGCCGCAGCAGGAAAGTCGGTTTCAATTTCCCTTCTCTCACAACACCCTGCAGATAAGATTGAAATTGATGAATTTGGATTAGGGTCACAATTAGGGTTACGAAAAACAGAATGAAATCGAGGAAATTGGATTAGCTTTGGCACAAATTGAGACTTTAGTGGAACAGAAGTATCTGACAGTAACACATTGCAGAGCTAATGTTGATGTTGCAGAGCTGGGATTATGTACACTTCGAGTGTTGGAGAGGTTGACAAAAACTTAAGATCCGGAGTCTTCTCATTGACCGGAACAGGCTTTCTCGGTGCTGTTGGTCGGAGCTTAGACTTGGGTAACTAATAAAAGCTTCATCTTCCTCTTTACGTTACTCTGTTTTTGCGCATTAGTGATTGATTGTTTGGTGTGTGGTTGTGATGATCGATCATAGGAGGCCAAACTGCTTTGGCCTTACGACTTCTCTTGGCGGTTTTCTCTTCCAAGTTATCTTCGGTTGCTGACCGACCTTTCGGGGATGAGGTACTCTTTAGATCCCACAAGATTTATGGTTCGTGATCGGACTTTAAGAATGTTTTTGCTAATTAGACTTTTGCTCTGCTGTTTGTTGCAGTTTCGTGCTGCTAGGAAAGCGTCTGAGGAAGTTGGTGCGCAGCTGGTTCTTGGAGACCGACCCATCGAAATAACGGTAATGCTATGAGGATCTTTATAACCAAATGATCCACTTCTTTTAGTTAAGTATGGTTTTAAGACCAATTTGACATAGCTGTGATAAACGTTGCAGCTCCAAAGGGCTTGGAACTCTTTGAAATGGGCGGGGAAGCTTAATCTGGTGATGGCTGTGACCCGGGCAATCGCATCGTCATCTAGTATATCCGCAGCCGAGCTTAAGGTTTTTGTTCTCTTTCCCCAACTCGTTGACGTTAAATTTCAAGAAGATTAAGTTGTAACTTTTGGTTGTATGTGCATTGCAACAGGAACAAGAGACCGATGAAAGCAATGGAAGTCTGCAGCTTTACGAACGGCTAAGTTTCTCATACCCATCTCTACTACAGCCGCTGATACACGAAAGAGATACCGTAAGTGACACCTAACCTAACAGTAAACCAAACTGTACTGAACCAAATATTAGTAAGCAATGTTTTCATACGAACAAATCGAACCGAGACTTCGAATTTAGTATAATCGAATTGAATCAACCAAATTTTTTCTTTTTTTTTACTTAATTATATATCTGTTGATAATACTAATTGAAATCAATCATTTGTTTTTATCTATGCAAAACCAAACTCAAACCAAAAACGAACTAAGGAAAAATCTGGTCCTAGCTTGGGGTATACATGTCTTAAATCTGAAAACCGGAAGAAATTGACCCAACTGACTCTAGTCTGTAGATACATTTTGTTGGTAATAATGGATGAAACATGTTTTTGAGTTGACAGTATCTTGCTTGGTCGTTGAAGAGGAGCAAGGCGGTGAATGGGTGTAAAACAGTGGTGGGTGTGATAGGAAAAGGACACATGAACGGTGTGATTTATGCGTTGGTCTCGGATTCTGGTGATCTCCGGTTTAGGGATTTGGTAGGAAGAGGAGATTCATCTGATACTAATATTACATCGAACAGCTGGATTCAAAAGGCTTTAAAGAGCCTCGCAAGAGACACCGTTTTAGGGTTCTTGTTATGGGAGTTATATGATCAGTATCTCAAGTTTGTGATGATGACCCAAAACCCTTGATGATAAAAAAAACTAGCCGTTGCAAGACAAAAAAAAAAGTATAAATAAATATGGTATATAAGAGACAAATATATGATTCTTTCTTCCTCTATTTTCTCGAGTAACCTACACACACCTTGAGAATATATGACTTCTTGGAATCAAATAAAAAACCACATGCGATAAAATAGGCGGCTAAGGTTTCTTGTGGTTTGGCCGGCGGTTGGAGCTACTCTCCGATGTTGTCCTGTTTAAAGTTTTCTCTTTTGTTTTTAGGTTTCTGGTCTGATCTTTGATCGATGGTGCCTATTTCATGTCATGTGAAGGTTGCATCCTCCTCCGATTTGAATTGGGTTTGGTTGCTCAAAGGCTCCAAAATTTTGGGGATGTAGCTTTTGTTAGGTCCCGTACAACCGGATATGAAACGCAGCTATGTAATATCGTATAAACAATAAGACCATACGATCGAAACCCATA